CAATATCAAGATGAAATAAGATAATTCATCAAAAGCCTCCAAGCAAATTTCACTAAGTGACAGGTATTATTTTTCATACACAAAATATAAAACATACATCTACACATATATGTTTTACATGTATGCACATATGTATGAAGACACTTAAACATGATTGTCACATACACTCAGTAAATGGAAATGATCCTGCAGTACTCAGCACTGAATGTGAGGCACACTGTGTATCATGGAGTCATATGTGTTATGCATTATATGCAACATATTACAGTTCCTACATTACAGCCTCTCATCCTTATAAAAAGCCAGAGACTTGGGGATCATTAGCCCATTCTCCAGGTGAAGAAATGGGGGCACCAAGAGTTAATACAACTGCCCACAGATCGCAGAACTGCTAAATGACACCTTGACAAGAACAAGGCCAGCAGACACCAAACCCAAGCCCTGAAATGCTAGCCCCAGTGCTTTCAATAAATGTGAAATAAGATACATTTAGTTCATATTTCAGCCCACTCTGCACCTCATCAGTTTTGTGGCCCTGCCACCAGGTAGGTCTGGGACTTGGCCTCTCAGTGCATCCCTAGTCCACCTTACCTCAACTGCCCCACGAAAGCCTGTCCAGTTGCCTTCAATTTGAGAAATAAACATGAAGGTAACATTTATCCCCAGCAGGTGTTGTGAAAAGATCATTCCCCACTTTTCTCTGCAGAGAAAAGCTTCCCCCTACAGATGACAGATTAACCAACGTTATTAAATAATTCTTCTTTTGACCATCGGAACTCTTCTAAGTCTTGAGTATGCTATTGTGAACCGTGGACCTACAAGAAAACGCACCATACTTCCAAGATCATTTTTTCCCCAGGCCCTTTGTTCTGGGAATCCCAATGAGCACCTCCTGGAATGAGTATTCTGAGGGTGCTGATGTAGTAGAAAAGGCACTAGCAGGCAACGGGAGTCCAGAGCTTGGGTCCTATCCCTCCACCCACCTAGTGTGATCTTAGGCAACTGCTGTAATCCTGGTTTCCTCCTATAAAGCAAAGAAAATGAGCTGTAATACGTTATGCTGGTGCAGGATGTCTTTTAGTGTCAAATGTCTGGAAAAATCCGCCCGCATGATTATTCCGCACCACAGAATGGTTCTCAATGCCATCCTTCCACGTGGCTAAGAACTGTTAGATGGAGAAACAAGTGTTAAAAAGATTGAAGCCCATATTGTTTGTCCTCAGCATAATACAGGAGGAATGTAAGAAGTATGAAGGTAATAACAAAACATAGCAACCTAAAAGACTCAGGAAAACTATTCTCATGCCAAGCAACACACGAATGCCATGCTTGGACAGCGATCCCAAGTGTTTTTATTATGGAATTTCTGGCTTTGCTAACTCAGTCTTACTTCCTACTAGCCTTCAGTACGCCCTGCGCTCCAGCCAAGGCAATTGCCCATATAAACGAAGCTCATCCTTTTAAAAAGCATAAAGGGGACAGGAAAGTAAAAGAAAAACTAGATATCGGAGACAAAATTGACAAATATTGCACATACATAAAGGACGAGCTGTATAACCATAGAAATAATTACAGAGAATAAAAAACTGATGTGTTTGCAAGGGTTCAATGTGCCTTGGCAGTGACGATTATCCAAATAATCAAAAAGTAAATTTCACATGGTCAAGGACCACAGCTGACATTCCAGCCTTATTCACTGCGCCCAACATTTGATGTTCTGCAGACAATTGTTGAGTAAGTTAATATAGTAAATCAACCAATCATCCAAAAATAAGGAAATTGACCGAACAGGAAGGCATTTTGCTTTATATTTATAGGATCAGCGTCTATGTTTCTTGAAGACTGGAAAGGAAACCTAAAGGCTAAGCCTGAATGAAAGCACTATTCCTCATGAATCACTGGTGTCCAAGGATAATTCAGTGGCTTCGACACACTTTAACTCTTTAGTTAAAAGAGAGCCTGGCAAGGTGATATGTGCCACTCTGTTTCTGTTAAAGGCTCCTTTCTGCACTGCAGAAGGATGATTAGAGCCTCACTGGCGGCTCAACCCAGAGAAGTGATTGTTTCCTTAAAACAGGGCCATAAAAATGTTGTCAACAAACTTGCTGAATTGTATTGGCTCTCAAAGGGAAAAAAATCTGTTCTTTCTCATAAGCCTTATCCAAAGACGGAAGAAAACGAGGAATTACCTTCCACGTTACTGATATCACAACTTCTTCAAGTGCAAGAAACTTTTTTCTATTATTCTGTCCCTTTTAATGCTGTCATTCAAACTCCCTCGGCATTTCATGCCCACCTTCAGGTAGAGCTGGTTTAAAATGGGGAGATAAGAGAGTTACAAAACGCTTGTAGGTGTGAGCAAATGGTGGAAATATTTTTGTCTCTGCCTATATTTGGACCCTACTCTCCCTGCTGCTGTCCTTCCCTGGCCTGGCCTGGCCACAGGCATGGAGCTCATTTCCAGCAGCTGTGCTGTCTTCTCTGCATTTCTTGCCCTCGGCCCTGCTTCAGCCTGCACTTGCACTGCCAGCCTCTTATGAAGCCATCTGTAACGTCCGTTCCCCCTCTACCTCCACAAGCCTCCTTTTCGCTACCCCTCAGGATTCATCGCCTCATCTCTGTTAAGATAACCCCTCTGGTAAGTTCTCCGGTCAGTCTCTTAACTGTATTCCACTTCTTCCGAGAACGGCAGACTCTGTGAGTATCTTCCATGACACCAATATCCAAGGTCAGCCTGACAGCTCTAGATAACGTGCATCACCACCATAACCCTGCCACGAAGTCACCACTACACAGCCTCTTCCTGTGCTTCAGAAAGCTCTTCTCTTAAATTAAACCACACCAATTGCTCCCTAAGATGTGGGTCTAGAGTAGAAGTCTTATCACATATTTGGCCTCCCTATTCTTCCCATAATTCCCTGAGAAAACATCGCGACCACATAATTCCTTGTTGTGGTTTATATAGAGAATGTCCCCCAAAGCCTCCTGCAGTCATAGTCAAGGCTTTTGAAAGGTGACTGGATTACCAGGAGCAGACAGCTCACTTGCTGTTGGGAGGTGGGTTCTGGTCAGAAGAGGGGGTCGCTGGGGTGTGGCCTGCATGGTGTATCTCCCTCCCCTTCTCTCTCTGTTCTGACTACCATGACCTGAGAGGTTGTCCTCTGCCCACCCCCTGCCTGCCTTGGAGCCAGTGAAAGAGCTAAACTGCGAGCCCAAATATGCCTTTCAAATTGTGGATGCCATGTCTCAGCAGTGGGAGGGTGACTAAGACATTCCTCTTCCTCTCCTGGGGGAACTTTGTCTACAATGTGCCCTACTTCTTCTGTAGAAAAGCCACACATCTCAGCCTTTATAGCAAAGAGTTATGCTTTCCTTACAATGAGAAAAAACACTGTGACTTAAATCAGGTATGTGAGGGTTTTATGAAGAAATTAGACCAGGTAAAGGCCTTTCAAGAACTAGAAAAGACAGGTTCCACAGCCTGCCTTGAAAGTGCAATGACCCAAGTTCGATTCCCAGTACCAAAAAAAAGGAACTATAAAAGACAAAAATTAAGTAGTTGAGTACCTTCAAAGTGTTATTATCTCTTTTCTCCAGTTTTAGAACTCAAGAAAACACTCACAGTTTGGCACCTAAGCTGATGATAGAAGAAAGCTTCTGCTGTCAGGACAAAATTATTTGTGAGAAATATTATGAGCGCATGAATCACTTACAAAAGCTCATAATTCAGGAGCAAGACACAGTATAAATAAATTAGTTTTTTATGACACCACAAAATTAGGTAATTGTTCATCATTTATCCTACTAACCCATTTCAGTTATGCCTTAGGTGACCTCTGTTGGCTAAACATAAAGAATGAAAGAAAGTTCAAAAACTGAGTTATAATGTATATACCAAATTTAGCATTTGAACACAGAAATTGATTCATAGCAAAAATCCATCCTACTTTGCAACCATCTGTAAAATGAATCATTAGGAGCTCTCAGACATTTAATGAATTATATGTTATAAGAAACAATTTAAAATAATGAAGTCCAGCTTCTTTCAATTCTAACAACATTATCCCCACAAGAAAAAATTAATTCTTAATATTCATTATATTCTGTATATCTTGGACGCAGTGATTCCCTACTCACATTTATAAGTTTTCCATGTGTCTCTTCCCGCTTTATTTTCATTCTGTATGTTAGACTAAAATGAATAATGTATGTACAAGATAGCTTTCAATAAAACTAGGATCCTATTATCATATTCACCCATTTGCATTGGAATGCCAAAAAAGCGATCTTCCCTGCCTAATCAGTAGTTCTCACATCGTGTTTACTACGTGTGCAGCTCAGTTGCAGGGCTAGAAACAACTGACACACGGTGAGTGCTATTTAGTTACAGGAATAAGAGATATGTTTTTAAATATTTTAATGTAAAAGACTGATGCGTGAGATGCCCTAGAGGTGGATATTCTGGAGACGCTGGCTCAGTGCTCAGGTGCAGAGCAGCGGGTGTGGACCAGGGGCTCTGTGGATGAGGTCCCATGGGTCCAGGTTCCTTTCCAGTTCTGCAATGAATGCATAGAAGGAAGTAGGGTCACCACACATCTCCGGTCTATTTGTTTATTAGGTGGGATATTAATACTCCTCAGGGCTGATGAGAGGAGTCAGTGCGGGCCCCTGATAAAGTTTATCAGAGGAAGTAGCACAGGTTTTCGTGTTTGCCTCCAAAGCCCTTGTGCAGTTAAGTTGCCCTCGCTGCCTGCCCCAGAAGCTTCAGTGCTTCTCTGAATTTGCTCATTGTCTCTGAGAGCGCTATGTAGTTCATCCATTTTAAATATGGGTCTCATTATATAGAGACTGAGCAAAAGCCTGACCAGAAAAAGCAGGACAGATGGCACTACAGAGAATCGGTTGGGTTGTGATTAAGTAGCGGCTCCAGAATCACAAATGTGGAAAGTATGTCTATGTGACAGAACAATATAGTAACCACACATGTGATTTTTTTCTGTATCTCATTTTATGTGCCTGTATGGGTTAAAAACTTTAATGTGTTAAAACATTTCAGATGATGAATTTAAATTTCTTTTGCCCTTTCTTCTGCATGTTTTATGTGGAAGCTGTTCATTTCTGTTTTTCCCATCTGGAGAGTTGGTGGATTTAGCAAGCAAATTTGGTTTCTTGAAACTCCTTGTTCTTGTGTCATTTAATCACCTAAAACTGTCAGAAAAAACAGATTATTACATAAAAAAGATCTAGAGCCTTTAAGATAATAATAGTTAATCAAGTTAAAAATTACTTAACTTGCTAGCATATATAACTTTTTTAACCGATTCCCTTGTAAAATTATAGACAAATATTTGCTTCAATTGCACAAAAGTTCACCTTAATAAAATCAAATCCAGTTGAAAACAAAGATCCAGAATCCAGAGCCCAGAATAACAGCTACTATTGCCATCTGAGAATGCTAACACTTTTTTCCACAAAGAGGTGGTTTACCACCCACCGTTTGACTTTATGCACACAATTCTAGCAAGCTCCTTTAAAATTAAAAGTAAAGTGAAATAAATGCATTTTTACTGAGTTTCATGAATTTGGAGAATACGGGTATTTGTTCATTATATTTGAGGTCAATAAGCGCGGGGGAATTAAAAATATCTAGAAGAAAGGTCTTAAAAGATGCACTTTTAACTGGACAGAACTCAATTCTGAGAAGTGAGTTTACAAAGGGAGAAATTTTAATTTTTATAGACTCTCATATTCTTTGTATTATCTTCAAAATATTGCATTTGTAATGTTTTAAGGAAAAGTAGTTCCTTGGGCAAGTAACATCACAAAACGTAACAGCCTACATTTGAAGGTTCTTCCTCCAAATTTTCTCTTCTCAGAAAATGGAACCACCTTTAGTCCTTCTGCTTAGACACAAAACCCAAGATTGCACTCATTTCCTTTTTTCTTTACACAGCACTTCCAGCCCAGCTACCACATCTGTTGGCTGTACTCCCAGCATGTCCCTGAATCCACGCAGCTTTCGTCCACCCCATGGTCCCCAGCCTATCCAGGCAGTTCTATATTTCCAGAAGAAAATATAAAGGCCTGCTGTGTCTGGTTTCTTCTAAGGACTCTCCTGGGCTGTACATGGCCACCGTCCTGCTGCCTTCCCATGGTGACCCCCGTCTCCGTGTCTACGTCCAAACGTTCTCTCCCCGCACCAGGACCTCATTTTACCTTAATCGCCCCCTTTAAAGACCCTGTTTCCAAATATGCTCATATTCTGAGGTACTGGGATGAGGATTTAAGAGTGTGAACTGGGGGGACACAACTCAGCCCAAAATATGTTATTTCCTCTGCCTGAACATTGCTTTCTCATGATGTCCGGAGTCTCTTCAGATCATCCCGCCCTCTGCTCCCATGTCATCTCCTCAGTGGCTTCCTCCTCCGCCAGTGCAAAGTAGCACAGAAGCACCCTTCAGTCTGTGCCTCCTTCTATTTTATTCTCTTCACAACCCCTCAGTCACTTTGTAGCACCACAAAATGTTTAAATTTTAATTGTTTCAGCACAAAGGCAAAAACTTGGATTTTTAATGTCCTCTTTATTGCCGTGCCTTCATTGCGTAAAACAGTACCAGGAATACCACAAATATGTACTCAGTGAATTGTTAGTATTTCGTGAGTGTTGTAAAGAGATATTCACGAGGCCTTTCTGACAACATGAAGTGCTGGCAAAAAAATTAAATGACATCTTGCATAGATCATGCACAAAAACAAGCACAAAAATATGCTATAGATGCCTATGATCACTAAAATCAATATTTGAAATCAACTATGTAACAACAAGTTTGATATAGTTATGTTTTCCCAAGGTTACTGTAGCTTACCACAGAGTCTGAGATACATGCGGTTTTCACGCGGGGTAAGGTTGCTCTCAGTGTCTAGAAGTGGATGCCACAGAGGCTGTTAGCATCATACAATTCGAAGTGTAGCTTCCTGCAACAAAAAGCAATTCAGCCTAAAACTTAAAACTGACTAGAAAGAATCATTAATTGACCCCGAATTAATCCGATACTGATTTTTGCATAAACTGTGGGTCATATATAATAAAATATGAATACATATTTTTAAATTCCTATTTCTTTGTTAATATCTACTCACATTACATTAAAATAAAAAATTAAAAAGATTTTTAAAATTCCTATTCCTAGTCAGTCCCAGATAAAATTGCAAATTAATGAACTTTATCTTAAGAAGGTTCTCATTTTCCCCTCTACTTCACTCTCCTTTAGATAATTCTCAATTTCTGTCCTGTGGGGCCTTAAAGGGTTTTAAAACTTTACCTGCTTGAGGTCCATAATGTCTCCCACTGGATACCCTGGGAAGCTATGTCTTCACCCAGGCTCGGCCTTAGATTGTCCTACAAGCTTTGCCACTTGCCTACATCAGCTCACATGCCAGGATGCTGGGAACAAACCAACAAAAAATTTCACACAGAAAAATAAAGTCTACATTTAATTTTCATCAATGAGATTTCACCAGGACACAATCAGAGAGATATTTAGACACAGTTCATGGTGAAATACTAGTACATTTTATTGACCCTCACATACAGGCAAACTTGACATGAGGTAGTTCTACCAGGCAGCATAGTGCTCCCACCCAAGAACATAATAGACCAGCCACACTTGAGCTGGCGGCGATACCTGGAATGTAAAAGAAAAGGATGGGAACCCAGAACCTCTGTGACCACTCACTGCATTCAGAAGAAACACCAAAATGACTAGAAATCTCAAACCTACATTTTATATGGAACAAGTAAGGAAACATAAAATGTACAGTAGAAGTGAACACTTAGAATAGATAAAATAACAGTCTCTAAATGCTTGGGCAATGACTACCAAAAAATCAGCAAAGAAATTTTTCCTTTCTTTAGAGGTTAAAAAAAACTGATAATCTTGAAGTTATAGGGTTGGTGCAATGGGCTAATTTGAGCTCAGTGTGGAAGAATTTTGTGACATGTTGGCAAAAAAAAAAAAGCTTTATCACATGTGTGTTTCTTATTACTAGAAATATGTGAATATAGACCATGATACTGCTTCTCAGGGACACTGACAAAAGGATTCAAATTTAGGGAAGAAAGAGACTAGAAAGCAGAACATGTCCTTCTAATTCTGGGATTAACAACCATCTCTGAAAAGAAAATGCATATGAAACAAAGTTTAGTTTTTCTTTTTATTTAAGGGTTACTAGAGATTATGAGATGCAATTAATTAATTACTAAGAGATAGGTCCCCAGTCCTACCACGTACAACTGTATCATCTATCCAAGAAAGTCTCTGGGCTCATTTTCCTCTTACTTAAAATTCAACTTTGAACTAAATAATCCCTGGGATTTCTTTCAGTTCTCAAACTTGTATGTTTTTTACTTGACATCATAGATAACGTTACTGGTATAAGACCCCGGAGACTTCCAAGAGTTATGAAAGAAAAGAGAGGCCCAGAAATCAAGGGAGAGAGATACCCCTGCCCTTCCAAAATCGTTCATCCATGTGTCACCACCGGCACTCAAAGGGTCGCAGAGCCGTGTCCTCATCCATCAGCGCCAGACCTCAGCTATCTTTTAGTGTTGATCACTCATGCGGTTTAGTCTGATGGAGTCAGAAAGCAGGACCGAGTGCATACGGGAGTGACTACAAGGGAAAAGAACCTTCTCACATTTGTTCTTTTCCTGTTGTTGTATTCTGCCCAAAGACCCACTACACTGCACCATCCAAAAATTGGATTTATTTGCCAGGCAAAGGTGCCTTTCTGAAAGACAACACCGGTGTCAAATCACCATGGTGATTAATCTGCTTAGAGCACTTGACTGTCTTCACTTCTAATCAGCGTGATGGTGAAACCACACCACAGCCAAGGCCAACACTGCAGCAAGTTGGCCACTGAAGTGGGAAAAGTCACAGTAAAGGCTCCTGTCTTTCCTGCTTCACTAGATGGGGGTGGATTTTCCTTGATCCAAATAAATCCGCCCCCTCAGTTCCTCTGCATATTTTATATGACACCCAACTATTGATTCAACATAGATTACAAAGACTAATTCTTCTAAATGCTAGGCTCTTGAGATTCTTTAACTAAAATTGTCTCCGTATCATCTGACACCTTATAAGCTATTTATACTCTTGAAAAGGACAAATTATATTTGTACTTTAACAATTTTCTCAATTTGGTGAAATAAACTCATTGTTCACATTTAGCCTTTTCCCCCTCAGAGAAAGCACACCGTTATTACTTGAATCAGTTACTTGTTGGCCGTTGTCTGCAATGACATCTGAGTCAAGTTGTTGGGGCAATAATCTACGGCTTCCCAGCCAGTGAGCGCTAGAGGTATTATTTCCCTGAGCCTGGGAACTCTCTCTGAGTCAGAAGATGTGCTGGATGCCTCCGATTGCTCCTCCACTCTGCCCAGGAGCTGTGCCCCATGGACCTGATCCGTGAGCTCCAGGACCTCTCACATCTAATTGGTTTTGTGCTAGACGAGGCTGGGGCAAACCCATTAAACCACTATGAAAAGACATGCTGACCCATACGCAGAACAGGACCTGGGAGAACTGCAGTTCCTGAGCACTGTACACAGAACCAATCAAAAAAGTGCTATCTTCAATTCTTCATTGATGTCTGGGGTGAAACCCAGCCAGCCTTGCATATGGCAGTTTAAGTCTGACGCCAGGCCAAGTGAGTTACCGATAGGAAACTGTCCCAAATGCCTACTTGCATGGGGAGGATGCCAGTCCAGTAACTACAGATAGAAAGAGCCCTGCTGCTGTGAGCCTTTGCACCAGGCCTGTCTCATTCTGTGAAGCGCACTTCTTTTCTACCTTCAATAAATTTAAGTCCTCGCTACCTTTCCTGCATGTTTTGTCCAAGTCTTTATGAAGTAAGTCACGAAACTGGAAAGAATTTCTTCAGGACCCAAAAGCTGATAACAGGTTCGCCTATAGCAGTGATGGTGAACATTTTAGAGACGAGTGCCCAAACTGCAACCTAAAACCCACTTATTTATCACAAAGCACCAACACTGTGATTAAACCTGAATACTGAGGTTTTAGTCTAAGGAAAAAAATGAAAAACCGCATATATGCACATGAACGTCTTTGGTCTTAAAAACAACACGTGTGCCCTAAGCTGGCCACCTCTGACCCAGAGGGAGCTCCGCAGGAGGCAGGAAGGAAGCTCAGCGCGAGGCTGAGGCAGGAAGGAAGCTCAGCGCGAGGCTGAGGCAGGCTTTCCCCGCCTCCCTCCCACAGCCTGCCTGGAGCTCTGCTGGGGGCTGCTAGCCTGGCTCTGCTCCTGCTCTTTTCCAGGGCGGTCAGAGCTCCCGTGCCTTGTGCACCAAAGGGCAAGGTGTGACAACAACCCCACTGTGACGACCCCAGGTTCCACTGCACTCTGCTCCTGTCATTTCAAAAAACATCCTGAAATTGCCCTTGGTAAATTTTTTCCCCACAGCCTGATCTTGTCAGATACTTAGGCACGTTTCAGTGGAAACATGAGATATGTAATATAATTCATCAGAGAATCTGCTTTGGGACTTCTTTATCCTTTTAAAAATTCTTTTACATTAAGCTCAGGTTTTTAATCAGTTAATTTCTTCTTCCAAACATCTTCTCTGGGTTATTTTGTTGTTCATTTTCAAATTTATTGAGAAGAGGAGCTTGTTATGCTATTTCATCGTTGGTCTTTAATAACAGTGATTATGCACCTTTTTCAGCATCTTGTTATTTGTCCAGTTTCTTTGACTTTCCGTGAAATTTGATTTTCCCATTGATTTGCAGAAAATTTTAGTGTTTGTTTACTTTTTGGTCCAAAACTTTTTGGTTCCTCATTTTTAAGGATTTAAAAATTTTAAAGTACTCTCCACTTTAGTATTTAGTTTAATTTTAAAAACATATGTGTCCTATAAAGTTTCCCTTTTTTGTTTGTTTGTTTGTTTTTGGTACCGGGGATTGAACTCGAGTCCTTGCGCTTGCAAGGCAGGCCACCGAACCGCTGAGCTAAATCTCCCACCCAAAAGTTTCCCTCTTTTAATTTCATGAGGATTTCTTTGTGGCCAAATATAGAATCAATTATTTTGTACTGTAATACTTGGAAAATATATATATTCTCTATTTAAGGAATGTATTCATTAAATACATCAAGTCTGCTAAAGAAACATTTATTGTCTGTCTAGTAAATATCTATTTCTGAAAGAGATTTAATTTTAAAATCTTTCATTATTGCTAACTTCTATAAGGCTTTTCTTGTATTTTTAATAGTTCTGACTATGTATTATCACTCTATTCTTTTGTAAAGGCAACTTGCTGATCATTACATCTTCATCAAATAATATTTGCATCATTAACAAGTATGGCCATACTGTTAGGATCTTTTAGCATTTAACTCCATTTGGTCTGGTATTCACACTGTTGTTCCAGTTCTTGTTTGTTTGTTTGTTGTTGTTGTTGTTTGGGTTTATTTTTGGTTTGTATCTCCAGAGATTGGACGCTTCTTTTGAACTTCCTTCTTTGTGAATTAGCATATCTGAACCTTGTTTTTCATCCCGTAATGCTCCCTGTGTTTTGATAGGTGCACTCTGTCCATTGTCCATTCACATTTAACTCAAGGCCTAACGTTAATTTTGCTCCTTTCACTGTGCTCCATTCTTTTCACCTTACCCCAGTTGTTTACTACTTATTTACATTGTCATTTTTCTATTTTTCTTCCCTTGATTTTGTTAGAGTGGTTAGACGTCTGCTCACTCTTCTTCCCCTCGTGTTAATTTAAAGGTTCTGGTGTATTTTTCCATTCCCTGAATGGTTATAGTCTCTTTCCCTGTTCTGTTAATCAAATCCATATGTCACTACGATCGTTTTTGGAAGCCGGATACTGACAACATTGCTATTTCCTTGCCACAGTGCTCCAGTTCTGCTTTCCTGACTACACAATATAACTATAACTAAAAAAGACTTGTACGTTATCCCCGTTCGTCGTTTCCCACGTACTCCTCCCAACTTTTGAGATTCCTCTACCTCTACTTGCTGGTCTGCACTTTCGACTTCCTGGAGTGACTCTTCTATTCAGAAGTCCAGCAGTCGCTGGATTATATTATCAGGCAGTTTTTCTTAAGCAAAGGGTAATAGTGAAAAAATATTTACTGAGGGTGTCATAATGCCACGTCTTCTTCCAAATGTTTTACGTGTAGAATTCTCTTAACGTTTTGTGACCATTCTATGAGACAAGCTCTATCATTTTTCCCATTGTTTGCTTTATAAATGAAGAAGGTGGCGAAGAAATGTTAACTACGAGCTAATGCCACACAGCTAACTTGGAACACTATCGGGAACTGACTCCAGGCTACTGCTCAGAGCCTGCTCGGATTTCTGAACTTCACTGTTGCCTGCCTGGCCGTGGCTCTGTGCCTTCATCTTTGTCCAGTTTAAGATGCTTGCTTGGGTTAGCTCGCTTAGTTATATCTTTTCTCTCGATTTTTATTCAGATGGCAAAGTTAGGTGCAAAAATAGTATCCCTGGCCTGAAGAGAAAATCAGAATCTGTTCACTGAGTGAGTAACTGAGATCCAGTTAGTTTGGATGAAAAGATCTACTTTTAGGCATGCCCTGATGGATAAGAGAAAGAAGCCTCCAGCTAGGAAGGGCAAGTTATCTATCCATGATATTTCCTTTCAGCCTGTGAATAGAACATCAATGTGTGTTAACATACAAAGTAAACTGAACACACCCACCCAACAATCTATGAAATCATTGCTCTCCTCGTAGTTAGTACACTCAGGAGCAAGGCTTGCCTCCTGCACAGGACAGGCTGGACATGCGTTTTCCCACCCAGTCCATGCTATGATTCCAGTGCTGCACTACCTGAAGAGAGGCTCAAGTGGACAGTACCACTGGATGCTGTTTGGGGCAAATCAGCAGCAAAGGTTTTTCTAGAATCAACAGGTGAAATGTAAATAATATTTTGGTATAATATGAGATGAAAATGAACCAAAACAGCAGAGTGGAAGGTGGCTAACTAAAACAACAGGCTATAAACAACTAAGCACACACAAACACATGCATTCGCAGATAAACATAGATAGACATAAAAACGATATGTATATGAGACGATTACATTTTGATTATACAATGCACATGAAAAACCAGGAAAACATACATTGCAGTTTAACGCAGTGTTTTAACATGGTGACAGGAGTGTTTTTTCATTTTCTCTTCTAATTCCAATGAGGCAAATTGTTTCTTGCATAAAATTCATTAATTTATACAAATGTGTATCTATAAATAAAAAGAGAGAGAAGAAAGAATGAGGAAAGCACAGGAAATCAAGGGAGAAGGTGAGAAGCAGCAGGAGGCTGGAAGGGTGGGAATGGGAGGAGGAAAGGGAGCAAAGAGACAGACGAAATGGAGCAGGAAACCCACGGGCCAGCAGGGAGGACAGTGAGAGTCAAAGCGAGGGACAACCGCGCTGAGGGGCTCGGTACAGAGGCAGGACATGGAACAGCCTCCGCTGTCTCCAGTTACCATGGAAGGAAAAGGCAATCCTAACCATCTGTGCTTGGCTTTCCACACAATGGACTATGGCAAGACAGGTTTTAAAAAGTAGACTCAATTTTGCAAAAGAAACCCAAAATATGGATTAATTATTTGTCTACAGATTACAGTACCTGTTTGTGTACATGTGCCAATTTGCCTAATAAAAATATCTGCAATATTGACAGTGAACCTGTGCTTTGTTTTATGATATCCATATTGTCAACAGTTTTAAATATTAATTTAAACTCCACAACTTTGAGCTACATAAAAGTTGTTTTTTCTGACTCTTTTTACTGACTGGGCCAACCTGACAAAACGGGCCTCCTGATACACTAATCCTTCCCTGCACTTAGTCGAGAGTAGGGAATCCTGAATGTGCCTATAGCAAAATAGGTTTTAAATGCATTCAAATCAGGTTGTTTTCCCCTATTTCAGAGGAGCTGCGACATTAGCCAACTCACGTTCAGAGTGTAGGCTTTCTGTTTATCCCTTCATCAGCCTATTGATGAGACTGTACATTGGTATCAGCCAATTTTATTTTGGATTTTATAACAGTATTTGAAGATTCCCAAGAACAAAGTGACAGTCACAAAACCAACCTAAGGATACAAATTATTGATATGGTAGCTATGAATGTTGTATGTGTATGCAATAGTCTCACTAAAGCCAAACCTTCTACCCCCAGTGCTTGGCCCTGGGACAGCAGGAGGAATCAGATTTCACGCCCTCTTTGCAAGATTTTCTCTTGAGTCTTTAAATTATGTCTATGTGACATGATATAAACCAAATGTCCTATTATTTTTGTTTGCTGCAAAAGAGTTATTTTTGGTTTTGTTATATAGATAAATACTGAGTCAACAAATAATGTTACCTTCAAAGAATTTTAGTTCTCTTTCAAGTTTATCATTATTTGTCAAAATAGATCAACATATTAAGATTTAACTCGGGGTTCTTTCTTTCTCTGTATACAAAATTCTTCCGAAGGTACTCAGCTAAATATGGTTCTAATGAAATGCTGGCAGAAACGTCATGAAGTAGCAAAACCTTCCAGGCATCTGAGATTCTGTTTTCCAGGAAGCATGAAGTATAAATAGTTGGAATGTATCATGGGATGAGGCATGTCCATGGCATGCTTATACAAACAGAAGAGACAACATTCCCAGCTTGCTAATATACCCGACCCCCAAAAGCACGTGGAATGGACCCAGCCCGCCCTGTCTCATATCATCTTTGTCCTTGTGTGCTGAGTTGAACACGTTGTGCTCTATCCTCAATTAGCAATTTTTCCCCAGGCATGGTTAGCCTGAATACTTTCACCTAGCCACAGAACCAACCACAGCTGCCAAAAATGCATGTGGGCACACCCTCGTAATTTTAAAGTGGATATACTTACAAAATTTGGGAGGTCCCCCTTTTAATATCTCAACATTCTTCTACTAGCCTTCTATTCAGCTTCAGAATAAGCCCACTCGTGTAATTGCTCGAGTGAAGAGCGTAAATGTGTCTAAATTCTGAGTCCTGACTTCAAAGGAATCTTACTAACTCATTTTTGCATTAACTAGTTGGCATTTATTCAAACGGGGGCCTTGTTTCTTTGGGACGAAAGCAGATAGACCTCAAAAGCAAGAAGCACTGGGAGAAAGAGAACCCTTAAGATTTACACAACTTGCTCTTTTCGTTACACAGCCATTCTCTTCCACCCATTAGTGTTGGTTGGTTGACACGTTTACCAGAGGCAGGTAAAGCTGTCTCTCCTGTCAACAGTGATGAAGCTGTCTGTGTTGTGATCCCTTTATTCTCGAATTGAGGCCATACGACAACTGATGGGTGGCCTCAGGTGCTGAAGTTGGTTGCCTTTGACAACAGAGCCTCCCTCACTTCCCTTGGCCGAGGATGCTCCCAGCTGATCAGGCTGCAGTACCCAGAGGCCCCAAATTCCTTCTTCTGCCCTTGCTCAGCTCTTCTCTCCGTTTTAATGTGTTCTCCTCATCCCTTGAGCTTAGTTATTTAGCCGCTTCTCCGACTGGACGGTACTTCAGGCCACGCCACTTTGTTCAGCACTGGCCAGGCCGCAGCTGCAGGTCCACACTCAGTGGCTACGAGGAGCACCCAGCTGGCAGGTGCTGGGCAGCCCACTCTGGAGCAGTGCAGCCCCACAAGACAGGATGGAGCGCTTTGAGCCTTAAACTCATCGCTTACTCCTTTCTGGGTTTTGTTCATCAGATTTCTGCAAAAGTTCCAAATACTGGTTTTGGTAGAGAAAGTCTCTATTCTGTTTCTTATTTGGGCAAGGCGTACTCTCAGTAGACAGTACACTGAATTCTTCTCAGTAGCTCTAAAACTCAGATAAGCCCGGGTTGTCTGATGCACAAAAACAGTAGGTCTTGGGGCAGGGAGAGGCAACATATATACATTGCTGTATTATTTTGTACTAGATTTTCCCAAATCAAACTCCCCACAAAATAAGAGTGCACCAAGGTAGAAACTCATGAGGTTGAAATTGCAGGATGGAAAGTCAGGGTTTTCGGTAAAGACTATGGACTTGCCCAGCTCTGCCAGGGCTTGTGGAATCGATGGTGTCCCCCAGCCTGGTGCACTACGGCTGGTACACACCTCACAGTGCTGCCCCCTGGAGGGGGTGGTAAGGGGTACTTCACTGCCAAGGAGCACACCCACTTACGTGATTTGTGGCTTTAATAAATATCACAGATCTGAGATAGATATTTGGCCTCCATTACTTAAAATGTTATCCTCAGACATCAAATATTTTAAGTTTAGCCTGAAAAGAAGCAGATTTCAGAGTAAGATAGAAAGGCAATAAAGTAATAAGATGATAAAATAAAATGAGGAATGTTAGGAAAGGAAGGGAAGGGAAGGGAGTACATGCTCACATTTATTTGCGATGTTTACACACAAAAAATTATAGTTTAAACCCCAAATGTTAAGACTATCATGTCTGTTATTCTGGCCAGTAATATTAACATTAATATCATTTCTAACAGGGAACTAGCAGTAAATAGCAAGTAGAAGTGAGTTCTCTGAAAAAAATTGAAGAAATAAGTTATAGTTGTAGGAGACTGCTTACAAAATAGTTTCTCTACATACACAAATAGCAGCATGAATTTCACACAAATAAGTAAAAATATGTAGTATATGTTTATAAAGCCATGCGTGGAATTTGCTTAAGAAAATCATAATTACCATTTCAGTGCTCTTACAAAAGCTATTAGATGCATCACAGCAAATCAGAAAAGAATGGGAAAAATACTTCTATATGAATTCTATATCCTTAAGAGTAAGACGACAGATTAGTAAAATAGATGCAGTGTGTAAACTACAAGAAAGAACAAAGGGAAAGGAAGCAAAGGAGACACAGCAAGAGGGAGAAGGAGAGGGAGAGGGAGAGATTGGACAAAAGATACCACAGAACTTATTGGAGAACAAATTTAGCAGATAAATCTAATCATTTAGCGTTTACATTTTAGAGTCTCTAGAGCCTAAAATGAGCAGGAACATTTCCCTTGTGGATAATCCCCCCATCTTCATGGAGTCAGTCATAACTG